TTTACCTGACCTGAGTTAATTCGTCTCACTCTGAAGCCAGGCGGCAAGGTGAGCTCGGTATGTTGCGTGTACTAGGTAGGAGAAAGTAATTGAATATTGTAAAAGCTTTTCAAATAAGGAAATAAAGCAAATATTTAAAAACAACCGAAAAATGCAAATTAGAGCAAGTATTTATGCTCACATAAGAGTGATAAATAGTACAAAAAGTTCATTGCTGTAATATTAATAAAACGGAGGAAATACATTTATAAAAAGGACAATAAATTCAAATATAGTATAACTTTTACCGAATAATTAAAGGTCCAAGAAGAAAAATATATTACCCCGTATTGCTTATTCATTGAGTTTGATACTTTGATATTTTAGAACCTTACCATAATAATTTTCAAATATCTAATTTTTCATGATTATCCTCATTCTTCAATGTCAAATTAAAGTTGTTTGCAAGGGAACCTTCCACTCAAATTATTCAATATTTATATATACTTCTTACAAGAAGTAGAATTGTTGTCGAGTTGATAAAATGGATATCAAAATCTAATAAAGCAAACAAGAAGTATTATTCAATTGTTTCCCAATTTAATACATTTTGACAATCATTATATACAAAAAGTTCAATTGTAGTAATCCCAAACCTGTACCCTTTCCCAGACCTATCTGTATTTTATGACCGCGAAGGTAAGGTACCATACCATCTACCTACAGCTTTACATTCCATGGAGGAACTAGCAAAAGCTTTAAATGACTCGCAAGTAACTTTGCAAGGAAGAAATCCACCTCAAATTCAATGATCACCAGAGAAACCATCTGGGATGAAGATTAGAGGCCGAAATAACTCTTTAGGGTCTGCACTTGAAGAGACAACTCATTTCCTCAAAGCACTTGTTAACATTAGAAACCATACTACGGATGGTAAAGAGGCAAATCTTCTACTAATACGCACTGAATGTGAACCATCCTAGCAAAACCTCTTAAAATCAAGCCCCTCTCATTGCTCTTTTAGCCAAAGACCCATTCACCTGCAAATAAACACTATACTTTCGCACTGCAATATTTTATTGTATCAAGACTGTTAACTGTTGATCTGTTGCCTCTTCAGTTATCATATAATTCGTCAACATGGAAAATCTCAGGAGATAAAAGGTCATATATTTAACATCACCAGAGGCAACAACATAATTTACAAATTCTCATAAACAATTCTCAGTTTCAGAAACAGCCATTCACACCAATCTGTTCATATCAGCAAGATGTCACTTGGATTGAAACAATATCAGCTACTAATAAGGAGAACAACTAAAGCCTCCTTAGTCCTTAGCACAGGCTAACAACAAAAACAAAACAAAACCTTTCCTCACAACTTCACACGATTAAAAACCAATCAACCTCCCCTCCCTGCCTGCAATTCAAATGCATTCACCCCTTTGCGCATAATACCTTATTACCTATTAATCTATCCCTACTTCCTATCGCTAAGATAAATAGACAGAAGTCTCCTCAGTTCAGGTCTCCAATTTTTTTCCACAGGGAAGATATCAGAACTTAACTTTTCATCATCATTGGAGACACTTAACTCAATTACACAGTTCCTGCCTTTCCTTGCCTATTTGCATGTCGCTCAATTGACAAATAAAAAAATAAATCCATATCTATATATTGACAAATTCACCACTCTCGTGAACTAAAGTATCTTAATTAACCTCAACACCGTCATACACTTGAAGATCACAGCCAATATAAAGATTAAACTAATCAACAAAAGTTACTAAAGCCTCTTCAGTTCAGGTCTCCATATAGTTTCCGCATGAGTTTCTCAGAAGAACGAAAGTTATGTTTTCATCATCATTAGAGGCTACTAGTACAATTTACTACAAGCACATAAATCACAAAGCTCTCCACTCATAAGTCCAACAGAAAACTAAAAATAAATCCAACTATATTTACATATTCAAATATTTAGATCAGCTCGTGTTTACCGACTACAACCTCTGCAGTTTGTATCCAGAAAACAGTATCAGAAAGTTTTCCACTTGCCATCATCCTTAACACTAAATATTTTTACGTTAACGCGGCCCAATTCATAACCCTAATGGTAATTACCACCCATACGGCCATACCCATGATGTTGATGAAAGTTTGAATAATATTACAAACTACAAATCCGGTAAAAAACTACTACTAATACCTCTTCAGTTCAGGTCTCCATATAGATTCCGCATAATAAATCTCGGAAGAACGAAAGTTATGTTTTGATCATCATTAGAGGCTAGCATTTAGCAATTGTTCACATCCTTTAATGTACCATATTCACACCACTTACAAAAGCAATACATCAAAAGAAAACAGAAGGATATCAGGCATTTTTCTTCATAAAGACCAACAAAATTCATGCACTACAATTTCCCCCAACTTATTACCCTCAAACAAATGAAATATTCTAACATTTAATCAACAAAAAAAAAAGCCTCTTCAGTTCAGGTCTCCAATAGTTTTTCCACATGAGAATATGGGCCTGTTCCGATTTACAGGAAACAACTGAACTGATTAGACTGAACTGAACTGAAGAACTGAATAGAGCTGAAATGAATAGTTTATGAGAGAAGGAAATTAGGAACTAAACTGAAATTAAGTTGAACAGAACAGGCCCTATCTCGGAAGAACAAAAGTATTGTTTTGATCATCATTAGAGGCCAATCTTAATTAATTTCAAAATTCCAGCAAATACAGATTTCCGATAGTCTAATTCCTATGAATTCAATTGTAGAGTGGGAATCATTCAAAAATCTATTAATTTCTAAAACATGTTCAAGTTCGACCCAAAACAATCGTAAAAGCAGCCGAAACATATTAAGACAAGCTGAATCTACTAATATTTTGCAACAATCAACAAACTACGACCCTCTCATTACAGATCTCAAATTTTTTTTTTTTTAACACAATAAAGGCCTTTTCAGTTCAGGTCTCCAATAGTTTTTCCGCATGAAAAAATCTCGGAAGAACGAAAGTATTGTTTTGATCATCATTAAAGGCCAAACTATATCAATTACAAAAACCCAATAAATTCATATGAAAACGGGGAAATGGGTAAGATTCAAGAACGTTCTAGGAGAAACGGCGGAGTATTAGTTACCTTCTTCTGGTGAACACTATTGGATTTGGCGAAATGAAACGACGTCGTTGGTGGGAGAAGCTTCAATTATACGGATGATATGAGAAGTTGAAGTGAGAGAATGAAAGGTCGCCATTTTTAGGGAAGGAAATGGAGGAGAGAGAATGGGAAGGTGGTGAATGCGGAAGGAGAAGGGTGGAGTGTTATAGGGTTGAGTCAGTGAGGATGAAGAAATTAGGGTTTATTTTTAGGGTTTTAGGATTTGGGCTGTGGGTTCATATTGGTTTGGGCCTTTAAGGTGTTTTGGGTTGTAGATTTATTATTATTATTATTATTATTATTATTATTATTATTATTATTATTATTATTATTATAAATCGATCAAAGTAGAGCTCTAATCAATTGAGTTATTCTTTATTGTCGATAAATTATAATACCTCCGTTACATATTATGTGCAACGATTGAAAAATTTCTAATCGTATCACATAATATGTAACGGAGGTAGTAGGTATTCCAAAAGAGGAACAGGGTTCAATGGTTCATTGTCTTCATACAGCATGGCTAAGTTAGCATGTGAGTAATGTGCATGAAAGTCATAATACGGAGTATATAAATTTTGTATGTAACAGGTTTAGGTTCTATGTTTAAAAATGTATTATGAGATAATTTCTTACAGTTTGGTTGGATTATGAAAACAAACTTTCAAATTGCAGTTTTGCTTGTATACTCGACATGGCAAGTTATTAATTACTTAGGAAAAGAGTGATAGATAGCTCAAGTAGTTAGCTAGAGTTTCTCTCCCTATTCTAGGAGGTCGTGGGAAGGGGCTATTTAAACACACCAAAAAAAAAAAAAAAAAAAAAAAAACTAACTTAGCACCTGCTCATCTTCCAATGAGCATGTCTCCTCTTGGTAATCTTAAGGGGTAAATATAGTCATTGCATTAATAAATGAGGCTACTTTTTGTAATTAGGGTTGACAATTGAAGTTAACAATAACTAACTCCCCATTCCTTCAACTCCACAAACCTTCATTTTTGTTTTCCATCAATCTAAAAAGGTAGGTGAATTTCCCTTCCTCCATTATCAGAAAAAAAAAAACATAATTATGTGTGAATCTTGCTTTAAGGGACCAAATAACTTTAATGGAGAAATTAGGGGTGTCCTATTATGCTTTCCCTTATTTGACAGAGTCTTGCTATAAGTAACAAAATAACGTCAAAAAAGGGGTGTTTTTTTGCTCACTTGTACAAGTACATTAATAAGGTTGTTTTTTTTTTTTTTTTTAAAAAAATAACAAAAACTTAAATATCAAGGTAAAATATTTACATATTTCCCATTAGATAAACACAATTGGTTCATAAAAGTGAGAAACTTGTATTTTATGTGATATGCATAATTGTTACGTTAAAGGTGTGTGTGCTATAACACATTAAGGGTTTGTTCTTATTGACTGAACTCAGCTGAACTAAACTGAACTGAAATATTTTATAAGAGAAAGAAATTAGGAGCTGAACTGAACTGAACTGAAATATTTTATAAGAGAAGAAAATTAGGAGCTGAACTGAACTGAACTGAACTTCAACGTAAGAGAACAGACCCTAAGTCACAACTCGTATTATATCTTTAGTAGCTAAAAAAACACAATAAATCATAAAATTTAAAAGTGCAAAATGTTAGCCAAGACCCGAGAGCCCCAACTAGTACATGCACTAGGTTAACCCTTTGAACACGCGGGCATGACACAAGAGGCACCAAGGCACCATGCGTCCATGCTAAGTTGCTAATGTAAAGGGGAAGTAAATAGCGCACTCTAGATAAGAATTAAGAACTAGACAATTCTTGTGGAATAAATCCATTTCTTGCATCCAAAGACACAAGCCCCATTTTCCCTTTTATTTTCCTTTTTTTTTTCTTTTAAAATTTTTGCTGTCCACACCACAACACACCGCTGACCTGACTTAACCTCAACATTGCCATTTCGCTCTTCATCTAACTTCCCCCCTTTCTCTCTCAACAAAAATCAGCGCAAATACCAGGTAATTTCTTCATTTTTTTTCTTACATATTCAAGCTCACTCCATTTCTTGTCGATTTTATTGAGCATTTTGTTTAGTCATTTCCACTAATCTATGTTTGCGATTTTAGTTCGTTTAGTCTCTAACACTTGATTGTGTGATTAGTATTAATATTTGCTCATTTTGCGATTTCAGTCTCTAAAAATCGCCTGTAAATCTGTAATATCGTCTATTTGTTTGATTTTAGTGATGATTTTACACTAGTTTAAATTATTAATCGATTGTTGTTCTATTTTAATTATTTTAGTTTCGTTGAAATTTCATGGATTTCTGCTTCGTAATGTTAGGGTTTTCTCAGTAGAATAGATGATCGTTACTAGCTTCACTTTTTAATCTATTTGCCTTTCGTTTTGGTTATTTGCTGTTCAGATTATAGAACACATTGATTTTTTTTTGGTTGAAAATTACTTGAACAAGCTACTATTTATTTGGATTATGCGATATGTTATAAGGTTGGGTTTGCTGACATTTTTATCATTTTTTTTTTACCTTAATCTGCAATTGGGTTTATATACATTATATGGATTTCTTGAAGAGAGGGTTTTGTTTTATATTTGTATGTTGTACACATTTTATTGACGTTTTGAATTCTTTGATGCAATATCATGGGGTGACAATAATGTTGGGGAAGATAGTTTGTCTATTTGTAAGTTATTTTTCTTGTTTATTTATGATAATTTGCAATAGTAGAGTGACTTGTTATGTCCCCCGGACTTGGTTACTCATGTCAGACATGGCCAAAGTTATGCGATTATGGTCCAAAAAGAAGTGTCAAAATGTATTCGCATGTTGGAGTGTCTGAGAATCCAACATGGGTACTTTGGGTGAATTGAAGAGTCTAAATAATGTGGTTTGTGTGTCACCTTGACTGATATTTAGTGTTAATTTTATACAGAAGCAGGTCATGGAGATATGCTTTATGAATGACGTGTGTATTACTTGTTTCTGGCCTTTTTGAGTCATTAGAGTTTGGTTGTACCACTTGTACATGCGACATGGACCATTGAGGAATCATCCCCTATTATGCCTGTGATTTCTCTCATCCACTTGTCAGCCTGCCCCCTTTTTCCCCCAATGAATTGTAAATGGTTTGTCTAGTCATCTAGTGTATTAATTGCTGTTTTAAACTTGTTGAAGTTTAAATGCACAACTCTTATATAGAAAGTGCTGTAATAGTGGTAAACAAGCACTTCAGGTTTTGTTATATACAAAGAGTCTAGGATCGATTAGGTAGAGTAATTGCAGTATTTCCTTGTGGTATAAAATGAACTCTACAGTTGTTCTTTCTGTATTATGGCTATTGTTTGTGTGCTATGCGGTGCTTGTGAATGCTTTTAAAGTTTGCCTGATGGCTTTGATGCCCAATTGCTGGAAATATTCAGTTACATGTTAACAGAACATGCAGTCTTTAAGATTTAACTAGTTTTTTACGCGCGCGTGCACACACACACACATATCAACATATGTAAGATTTAACTCGTCTTGCAGCACCTGTGCACAGTTTCTTGAGGTATAACATGAAGTCTTTTATGGCGCTTAGTATGCTGATCTCTGTTGCATTACCTTGTTTAAATTTGTTGTAAGACCACTATGTTATGTGTTAGTTGTGATTTGTGAATGATTTAGATGTCCGTTGGATTTGAGCCTGTGACGCTCGATTGATTTATATTAAATGCACCCTGGCAGAGCTTGCAATCTGAAAGATTTAAGTAGATTTTTACCATATACACACACTCATGCAGGATTTAACTCATTTTGTTGCACCATCACAAGTTTCTTGAGTTATGATATTAAGTTGATGGGATACAAATTGTATCATACAACTTTCAAATTTGAGCTGACATTGTCTGTATGCAGGTTTATACTTCACTTGTGATCGACATGGCAGGAAGAGTTGTTGCAAGATATGTATCTAGGAGGTTTTCAAGTGGCGGCAAGGTGCTAGGCGAGGAGGAAAAGGCTGCAGAGAACGTGTACATCAAGGTGATGCATTTACTTATAAGGAGAGAGAACCTGTTATCATCTATCAGTGGCTTTGTAAATATTCCGTGTTTCTTCATCTGATGTGGAGATTGAATGTGTTATGACATCCCCCCCCCTCCCCCCGCATAAACATAGCCTGCTAGTCTCATATTTTTGAGATTCTTATGTGATGTCTCTCTGTATAAACAAATTTGACTTGTATATTCGTTAAGATTGATCAGAGTTTATTTCTTCATAAACTAAAAGTTTTGAAACTTCAATCCAAAAAAAAAAAAAACCTAAAGTTTTGGAACTTCATTCCACCATTTTTTGTGGTAAGTTGAAGTCATATATTGATATATGTTAGTTTGTTCTCAAAACTCAAGTGAGATGGTTGTTTGATACATGGAGTAATTTATGAACTCTAGAATGAATGTGGTTGTTTATTTGAGATCAGAGCTCTAGAATGAATATGGTTGTTTAATTTATGAATTTATTTTGTTCTTGTCCTTATCTAATCAGCTGATAAGCTAGATTCTAATACCAATTTATCTTTCTCTGCAGAAAATGGAAAAGGAAAAGCTGGAAAAGGCTGCTCGTCAGGTTTTAGATTGCACCCTTTATCTGTTTATTATAAATTTCATTTCTAATGTGGTATTATAAATGCCCAGTCTAAGTAATTGGGATTGAGACGAAATGTTTGGTGATATTGTCTCTTTTTTATGTGATTACATGCTTTTACTCCTGGTTCCTCCTCTCTGTGTATGATCCCCCCATTATAATTCTTAAACGGGGTTATGCTGGGCGTATAGTATTTCTTTTAATTTGAGCAATCTGCATGGAGTTTATTTTATTTCTTGCTACTGTTATGTTATCTGCCATTCTGATATCTGTTACATAACTTACATTGATGACTTTTGCAATATATACACCCCCTGGCCCCTTATATACTTCCTCCGTTTTCTTTTAGATGCAACACACACTTTTTCACTGTATTTAAGAAATGTGGGGTTCACATGATATAATACACTTTAAAATGGGATGAGTGGTTGTTAGGAGTGTAATTTAGTGGGCCATGTGCTTTAAATAAGGAAAATAGGTATAGTTTTTCCCTAAAGTAACTTTTCTTTTATAGTGTGTTGCAAGTATTGTGATATTTCCTTTTTAGGGAAGTGTTGCAAGTAAAAGAAAACGGAGGAAGTATACATTATGAAGTCCTGATTTGAATTCCTCTAGGCCTAGTCCAACAACTAGGCATAACTATTCCCCTAACTACATTAGAGCTAAAATTAATCTGATCTTATTATAGTTGTCCTTCTTTTTGAACTGAGAGCTATCTCACATCTTAATGCGTCCAGGGTCCTAAACAAGCAGAGGGAGAAGCGACTAACTCAGGGGCTCCAGCAGCTGAATCTGTTAAGCCAAGTGGCTCAGAACCTTCAGCTCCCAAGATTTCAACTGACAAGCACCGAAACTATGCTGTCTTGGCTGGACTTGTCACTGCTTTGGGTGCCGCTGGGTGGTATTATAAGTCTGGTTCGAAGAAGACTGAAGAAGTCCAAGACTGAGAAGCTTCCTGAATGATCTGTTTCCTTGGTCTGGGGTAGTGCTTGGACAAGTCTGATAAATAATCAATGAGATTTTATCTTAAAACATTGGAGTTTTTGTTAGGCATTTTCTGATCCCCATGTTTACTTGCACATGCACTGAAAAACGGTTGGTGATATATACATTACACTGTTAAATGGAAATAGGTGGATTCATGAACATCATCTGTTCTTTTGTTTATATGACAGGGTAACATGGTTTTCCTATGCCAATTCCCATTTGGTTGTGCTTCCTCTTTGCTCATTGTATTCAGTGAATGCTACTCCGATGTGTGAACAAGCTGACTGGGAATCTCAGTATCTACGTACATTTCATCCTGCAGGTTGAAGAATGAATGAATGAATGGCAAAACGTTTTTTCTTATGGTCTGAGTTATTTTATTTGATAGTTTTCAGTGCCAAAGTGTTTGTTAAGGATCCTTTTTTGGCCTTGTCAAAAGAAGTTGGCATAGTTGTCCTTTTGGTTTCATCAGAAACTGCGTTTGACTAATTTAATGCTCCTGTAGTTTGTGTCCTTCACAGCTTCATTTGGTGCTGTATCTGTGATTCTTGTTTTGTGCCTTGCTATCGCCCACTGGGTCTATCCTTCACCCAAGTGGGTTCCCCTCCATCAGCTTGTTCATGAGATATTTGTATGAAAGACGATTAATAGCTTACTCTCAAGATAGTATACTGCCATACTAGTGAAACCCGCTTTTACCACGTACAAATATTAAGCTGTTAGTCCATAATTCTATTTTTCCTTGGAGTATGCTTTAGTTTAGTGAAAATTGCAACTCTTAGTTAAAATTGAGATAATCTAGGATATGTGCCAACACTATTAGCTAATTGTTACCTTTTTAACCTTAAACCTTGAGGTTGGGTGTTGAATCTTTACTAGAAACACTTTGAGAAAGGGGGTTTTTAGTCCTTAGTCCTTACCCTTATCCTTCCCTCCCAAAATGTTTTACCGTAGATACGAGACTAAAAAAACCGTAAAGGTTGAGGCAGGTCATAATCTCATAACTTAAAAAAATAAAAGTGAAACGAGAAAAGGCAAAAAGCTGAATTGACGGTATCGATTCCTTAATGAGGCTTTACCGCACCGTCGTCCCAATAGTCGGCTGCTTGACCGCATCACGTGGCTTATCCTCACCGGTTGTGGGCCTCCCTTTCTCCGGAAAACCGACCTACAGTTGTTTATCCTGCACCTGCCCTCACCTGATTTAAACCCTTCCGAGTCCAAGTGAGTCTAACTGAGGAGAGAGAACACTCACTCGAAAAGGGCAAAAATGGAAGGAAGAAAAGTGAGTGTTGCTGCTCTCCAGTTCGCTTGCTCCGATGACATCTCTTCTAATCTTGCCACTGCTGAAAGGTGCTCTTTTCTTTCCCCCCCTTTTTTTTTTTTTCATTTTCTGTAAATTTAATCATTCTTTTTTTAGGTTAATTTTTTTGATTTAATTTTTGCATGTTAACTCTGATTAAATATGTAAGTTTTGTTTAATTCTAGCAAAGTCTGGAAAAAGTGCAATTCATGTCAATTACTTGAGCAAATTTGGTGTAGTTTAGCAAACTTTAATTTTGATTAGAATTGCAAATTCAGTATTAGCAATTATTAGTGTGGTTCGGGTTGATTTTATCATTTTATGTATTACATTTGCTTGGTATTAAACAATATAATATCAGGAAGATCGATTATGGTAATGTTATATATTGTCATTGAGGACAACTTTAGCTTTCATGTATGTGATTGCTTGTTGATGGATTCCGGTCGCTATGAGTAGAGTAATTTCTTGCTGATGGATTCGCTATGTATCGTAAATTGCTTGCTGATTGATTTGCCATGAGTCTTGTAATGGAATTTAAACCCAAACAACTTTTTTATTCATCAAGTTCCACTAGTAAGCAATAGGATAATAATGATAAGTGATATATAGGGATGAATCGAAGAACACAACAATGAAATAAAACATTTTTAAGATGAATGCCATTTATTACCACTCACCAAACAAGCTGTTATACATTACACCATGTATGAAGAATTTGCGTGTTACTCTGCATGTATTGTACAAGTATTAGTTTTCAATAACGGAATTACATTAAGATAGCGTTACATTGATATTTGAAGTGACAGAATATGGAATTAATTAGTTAAGTGAACAAATAATATTAATTGGGAAATGGAATTAGATCTCTATGTTGTCCCTTGTTTTCAGCCTTAATCTTGAATATTAACTGGAAATAAGCTGCAAGTACTGTTGGTTAAACACCAAATTACTCTACGAAAACATTGAGGGTGTGTTCTATTTCACTTGAACTACCCCTAAGCAGTATTTAATTGAACCTAACATGTATAAACTTATTGGCCTCGAGTTGAACTAATCTAAACTTATAAGCTGCCAGCTTAATGTAGTTGAACACTTGTACTTATTAGCTCTTAATTAAAACTTTTATGAACTTATTGGACTTAATAGTGTAAAACTCAACTAATTATCCCAAAATTGAATCAATCTAAACTAACAATTTATACCCTTGAATGCTTCCATTTTGATTGGTTTTGGTTAAGGATGCTATACAAGCTTCCAATTTCCTTTGATCTCTTATACCTATGAGTATATGAGCAACTAGGATGGTCCTAACAAGTGAGCAATATAGATACAAGGGTCTTTGGGGTGGGTGACTTTTGAATTGTATTGTAATACCTTGCAGTTATCAACAAGAGTGCTTTTCTGATTAATATAAAAAAATATGAGTACGAAAATTGACAAAGTCAACTAGCCGGAGGTTTTAAGGTTGTATAGTGATGCCTTAAGTTCTAAATTATAAACACTAAGGGGGCGTTTGGTATAAATTCCATAAACGGAATGGAAAGCATTTATATAAGTAAGGGAAAGGGTAATGATACACGTTACCTTTGATTTATGTTTGGTATCTTTATAAAATGGAAGCAAATTGAGGAGTTTATGATTGAGGAGGGAAACACATTTTGTTTCCACTAGTTGGATTAGGGTAACAATTTGGGGGATTTTGTTACCCTTTGGAAACGGTATTTGTTACTTGTAGCTCATACCAAACTAATAGAAACGGAAACACTTATTTGTTTACGTTTCCTACGTTACAAATTTTCATACCAAACACCCCCTAAAGATATAAGGAATCTGAGATTCTTAGCATTGATAATTGTATATTTCTGACATACTTGCTAATTTCACTTATGGGTAGTATGAAAATTATTTGGATGCAGGAGATGTTTAAGATTGATAGCAATACCCATTAATTTTCTTTTCTTTTCTGTTATTAAATAAAAAATTAGAGAGCTCTCCAGTCATTACTTACTTGACAAATCAGATACTGAGAAGTTTGCTCATTTTCCCTCTCGCTTTATCCTTACTGCATGGTGAATTGGAAATATGGTAAAGGCCTATTCTTTTTGGTTCCATCTTTCATTCACCTATTGTTCTTTTGAACTTTTCAACTGTGATGCATAACTTTGAGCTCTCTTCTGTTGATTAATCTCCCTCTCCATTTGTGAGCCTTTCAACTGTAATAAAAGATATGAGCAAGAGTGCCATCATTTTGATTAGTATTGTAATCTTAGTTATGGATTTGGATTGCTGTGTTGAATTCTGCATATTGTTTCACCTGTTGTGCAGGCTTGTGAGATCTGCTCATAAGAAGGGTGCAAACATTATCCTCATCCAGGTGTGTAATTTTGAGCATGTGATGATTTTTGCTGAAGTTGTAGGAGTCTTGCTTTATATAGATGTAGATATTCACTCTATCTACCACTGTCAAGTGTTCTGCCCCCTCTCCCCACCTCAGGTTTTTCCTTTTGAATTCACCTTGTGGTATGCTTTAAGTTCTGATTTCATATTTCAGGAACTCTTTGAAGGGTATTACTTTTGTCAAGCCCAAAAGGAAGATTTTTTCCAGAGAGCCAAACCGTATAAGGGCCATCCAACAATTGTTAGGTAAAATCATTGCCTAAAAGACTGATTTTTGTATGAAGTCACCTTGTACATAAATGAGATTTTATTTTTTTATATAAATTTGGATAGGCTTTAGTATATCTTTAGATACTTTATTTTAACTGTCTTGCAACTGCTGCTTTTAGGGGAGTTCTATTGTGATTTTCTCTTCATGCTGCAAATTGTGTGTGTGGTTTGTGGGGGGGGGGGGGGGGGGTACCTTTTACTTATATTGTAGATATTAATGGTTACTGACAGGTTGCAGAAACTAGCAAAAGAGCTGGGGGTAGTGATACCAGTTAGTTTTTTTGAAGAGGCAAATAATGCTCATTACAACTCAGTGGCAATCATTGATGCTGATGGGACTGATCTAGGACTTTATCGCAAATCTCATATACCAGATGGGCCAGGTATATAGGATGTGCAAGGCTTTTTTCTTCTTCCTTCTTTCCTGCCTCTTTTGGTTAGGGAGTTGGAAAGTTTTCATGATATATTGTTTTCTCTATACTGCTTGATCTTATTATTTCAATTATCACATTTTCCTCATGGTTTAGGTTATGAGGAGAAATTCTATTTCAACCCTGGTGATACTGGCTTCAAGGTATGCTCTTGTTCTCATGTTAGGTTTTTTATGCCTTGTTTTTTCATGTTCGAATTTTGAAATATCTGAATCCCAGGCTACTTCTAGACTGAGTTATGTCTGAATCTTAGCTATAATCTAACTTCGTCTTTTGGCTTGGCTCTTGAGCCCGAAATTTGTTTGTTTGATATGCCACATGCTATTATTGGATAATTGTATTTTTATGTTGTTATTGCCTTTTGAATGTAAGGAAGATATATGTTGCTTAGTCACACTGGGTAATGATCAGAATTCAAGATGATGAAGTTGTTTAGAAAGAAGAGCATATAGTACATTTCTCATATTGTAAACATAGTTGCTATGCTTAGAATTCTGTACTCATGGGCTATAAACGCCTAGTTGTCTAGATCACCTTTTACTCTACTAATTACTGAAATACTGAGGATACAAAACTGTTAGAAATATATTTTGCATCTGAATATCTGATTTTGCTTGTGTTTATAATGCGTTGACCCTCATAAATTTCTTTTGTAAATTTTGGCTACAGGCATTCCAAACTAAATTTGCCAAAATTGGAGTTGGTAAGTCACAATTTTCAGCACTTTCTGTATATATCTCGAGCTTAGATGTGAATATGTGTAAACTGTCTTTAATGGTCACTATGAAAATTCAGGATAGGTGAAACTTTTGCAACCTTTCCTATAATCGACTATTATGGTTTTGTAGGAATCTGTTGGGATCAGTGGTTTCCAGAGGCAGCCCGTGCAATGGTACTTCAAGGTGCAGAGATATTGTTCTACCCCACAGCAATTGGTTCTGAACCCCAAGATGATGGACTTGATTCTCGTGATCACTGGAAGCGAGTGATGCAGGGACATGCAGGGGCTAATTTGGTGTGTCAACTTATGCAATTTTCGATTTCAGTTTACTTTGATTACCCAAGTTATTATAACCCCAGTGTGATTTACTCTATATTTCCAGTCTCAACATGCTATTTATGATTTTGCTTTAGTAATGATATTCATGTTTTGGTTTCTGTATATACTTTTGTCATTGCTGATTTGCTGTTCATTCCGAGTTCGTAAAAACTAGTAAAGTGGATATTGGATATGGAGAACTCTGTGAAAGACTATTTTGAGGCTGATGTCTCTCAAAAATTAATTAGAAGTATGGATGTCAACTAGCTTAGTGGATAAGAATAGTGGATGTCTACTAGCTTAATTAATAAAAATCTTGGGGATGGTAATTTCATATTTTATAATTAAATGTTGTTTACATCACTATCATTTGCGGCTCCCTACACACACATGGACTTACATATTTTATTACTTCATTTACCGCTCCCTACACAGAGACACAGAGACAATTGGTAACTTACATATTTTATGGCTTCAGGTACCATTAGTAGCTTCTAATCGCATTGGAAAGGAAACAATTGAGACTGAGCATGGTAAAAGCGAGATCACCTTTTATGGGAACTCCTTCATAGCTGGTATTTAATCCTTCATAGCGAGATCATATGTTTATGTATATTTTTTTTTTCATGACTTAAACTTTGAAATTGAAATCTTCATTAATAGGTCCCACTGGAGAGATTGTTGCTACTGCTGATGACAAAGAGGAAGCAGTCCTTGTTGCCCAGTTTGATTTGGAGAAATTAAAGTACAAAAGATGTAGCTGGGGAGTATTTCGTGATCGTCGTCCAGAGTTGTACAAGGTGCTCCTTACATTGGATGGTGGCAATACTTATTCTTGAATTTTCTTATTTAAAAACAAGTTCTTTTTTCCTTAGCCCATTCAAAATAGGCGGGTAGTATTTACAGTTTCTAAAACGTTCCATAAGTGACATCATGTGATAAACATAGAGATGATACTTTAACTCTTTTAAGGGGTTTCCTGAATTAATAAAATATCATTCTTGAGTAATTTTCACATCTTGCTAATGCATAATATAAAAATTTGTTATAAATAACTGATTTGCCATTCCATCCATTCCATGTCAGTGTTTGCTATTATTTCTAACTGAGCCAATTATATTGAAGTGAGTCCCAATGGCTGTCTAGGTTTGCTCAATTCTGCTGTGACTGACTGAATTTGGATATCTGACTGATTCATATGCACAATTTCCGAGACGATTTGATACTGCTACTATATTGTTTGTTTATTTTAACTCCATTTCGTTGACATTATTACTGAGCATGTCAAGCTCTGAATCAATCGCTTAGAAATACGGGAAATTAGTGAATGATTGCACCTTTGTTGTTCTATTTGTCAACATGTTAGCGTAATCCGATTAAGTGTTTCTCTTGTCTGTCAAGCTCCCACCATAATAATAAGGCAGTTGTGTAATACTTTTTTTTTTTTTTAATCACAACATAAACAAGATATGAAGTATATGGATTTGCATGAGGATGAGGCTTTTGATCGTAAGAGGTGGAGGAGGAAGATTTTTGTCGATAACTACATGGAATAATCACTTTTGGTTCATGTAGCCGACCCCACTTATGAGATTAAAGCTTAGATTGATTATTTGATTGATTGAATAAGATGTCTGGTGTGTTAGGAAAGGAGAGAAAGAGAGAGATAAAAGGGGGTCCATGTGATGAGGAATGAAAGAGAATCATTAATAAACTAAAGTAATATTGCAATTAAAAAAGAATGGAGGAAATAAAAAGAATTGTTCTGAGTCTTAGTTAAATGTATGTATTGGCATATTGCTAGTATAGTTCCCGTACGTATGTTAGCGTGGCTCGTAAATTTTTTGATGTTCTCCTTGTTATTGTCTTTGTGCTTCCTTCTGTTTATATTTTTCTGATGCCTCTTCTGTGAGTGGTTTGGTTGTAGTCCTAATTTTGCTATAATTGTGAGCCTGTGTACATTTCCCCTTGAGTTTAAAAAGAAGAAGGTTTGTATAGTTCTACACATCAAACTATTATCTCATGACATTCAGAAAAATATTTTACATTCCAACCCCTCAGGCATAAGTTCATTAAAAGACCTTTTACATTTGTTGCATCATGCGATTAAGTAGGGTCTTCTTCAGAAGCCTAATAATAAACCATTATTATGTGAAAAAGGCGATAGCTTTTTTCCGAACATTTTAATGTTACATACGTGACATCTATTTTTCGACGGAGAGAGTAAATTTCTGTGGTTTATGTCGGTCTATGTAATGAGTAAATCATCCTGTAGGATATAGATAAGAGAGTATCTCTGCCACACTCAGCTCTCTGCCTCACTACTAATTTTCCATCATCCTGGACCCTATACGAAAGCTGTTTGGGTAAAGATTCTCGCTCGCTCTCACTCTCCCTTTATTTTTGCCTGTGGGGTGGGATGGGATGGGGGGGATTCAAAGCATATCTTGAAGCATCTCATTGTTTTCACTTTTAACTTTTCTTTACGAAGAATCAAAACGTGATATATGTGGTAATGTGATTTAGCAATGCTCCATTCTTAAGGTGCCAAGTGATGTCAACCTTTCTTTTGTTTGCTGCTTATTGTTATATCAATTTGTGGTGACTATTTAGCCTCCAATTCCACTTACTTTAAACATACATTTTTTGCTTTTGCTGGAATCAACTCTTACCTCTTCTGACTTTTCTGGTCAAGTGATGCTATGCTTTTTAATTACAATCTGAGGATTATTTTTTCCATCTGAATTCGTTTCGACCGTAACTTTATGCCCATATTTATGATATTCTTTAGCTTGTAAGATTATGTTAATGTGTTGCAATCTCAGATTTCATAGGTAGAATAAGATTTTTGTTATCCAGAAATAAAGAAAAAGGTTTCCACTTTTCATTTGTTATTCTCCATCGTACATTGTTCGTCAAGGTGTACTGTTATTATGTTTATCTAATGTCTGTTCCACATTATTTGACTTGTGTTTTTTAATGGTAATGAGAGTCATCATATCCATTGTTTAAGCTTTTGAATCTTGATACTGCTTTTCCAAGCAAATCTTCTTGGAGTCTTGAGATCCTTGTTTTACCTTGTTTTTACCCCATCCGTAATTGAAGGAGCAGGATGATGTATTTGTTCTGTGTATGAACTACTGTCAGTAATCTGTTGAAATATTGCCAATGTTACTCTGATTTGGGTGCTTGTTTTGGATATGTTGTTCTAGTGTTTTTGGCTCTAAATAATAATGTGTCTTTACCTATGTCGGAGTGTCGAAAATCTAGCATAGATATATTAGGCAAAATGAAGAGTCGGAGTAATATAGAACATTAAATACGTCGTTCTGTGTTCAACGAATGAACCTTCTACTGTCAGTTGTCTGTTGACAAAGATGTGTATACAGTCGTCAGCAAATATGTCACTGAATCTATTCATGTTACTTGGGTTTTTCTGTATTATGTCCAATTGCACACATGCACACAATCTTTCATTCATTAACTAATTGCTCTTACAGAAAGGTGCATAGTCAGTCTCAGAAAGTTATTTTTTTGTGCAACATGGATGATTTAGTGTTACCTTGTCACTAATTATTTAAATATAAGGAGGATATTTATACAAATAGAATATAAAAGAAAAAGTTATAAATTTTTCTATTGGTTGCAATGTTTACCTACTTGCTGTTAACATTATTTCTTAGGATATTTTCTTGGCATCTGTACCTCAATTACTTGAATAAAAATCTGCAAAAGCTGTTAACTGCACAATTTTGATCATACAAAATCAAATTGCTATATCTTGTTCATAATGCACAATTTAGGCTTTCTTAAAGCAAGAACAAAGATGAAGTTAACCTCAGCTGAATCCTGATTTTGACTTGGGACTATTATTCTCAGACTCCAATATATCTAATCCACCTGCTGCGAGCCTGTGATAATCTGATACTTGAGACAGATTAATGCTTGTAATGAACCAGGCTCATTTAACACGTCTCGATAATACAATAGGTTTATAGGCTTTTCTTCCACAGATTTCTCACAGTACTGGTAGATTTTGTGGCTATATTGGCATGACTTCAATCATCTATCCAAATATTGCATTTTGCTCCAGCAGTAGTTCAGTATTTTCAGTTTCAGGATTTTCAGCTAGGTTAGCATCTTAAATACAATACTAGTAATAAAGGTTCAATGTACAAAACTACTTGTGATGAGGACCAATTATTCTTGCTGTTATCCTCTTGTTTAGAATTCTGAACAGAGGGAAAGAACACAAATTTCGAAACCTATCGTCTCTTGCAGGTTGCTGCAACTCTTTACTCAGCTCCTTACATCAATAATCAATAAAATCATGAATAACTTCTCACAAATTCATCCTCCTCCTCAACACCTTCTCCTTTGGCTCCCTCTTCTTCTTCTTCGATATCTTCTATCCTTCCAACACCACACGTCTCTTCTTCTCCTTCCCATCCTTCCTCTCCACCATCATCTTCAGCATCATTGTCGTTGTCATCATCATCTTCTTCATCTGGTTGAACAAAGCTTAAACGAAGCCGCCCTTCTTCCCTGCTAGCTTGAAGACACTCCTGTGTAGGTATCCTAACCTCCTTTAACACAAACCTGCCATTTTCTCTGTAAGACTGAAAGGAAACAGAGGGTTTTCCTGCCTGTCCAATGTAAGCTATAGGCGGAGGGAACATCGTTGCTCCATTAACTTTTATCTTCCTGCAGTAAGAGTCACTTGAATGTCTTCTGGCATGCAGTTTAGAATTTGTGTTCTGAACCTCCAACGTCAAATCCTCCACATCACCCAAGCTCTCAGAACCAAGGCCTTCAGTACACAGCTGCAGGCTGTCAGAGTTCAAAGATGAGAAACTGTCGCTCTTCCTATGGTATGGCCGTGAGTACCCATCGTTAGTCGGAAACGAGGTAAGTGCACCTCCACTCTTCTCATCCTGTTGTTTGTCTATGTCAGATTTTTCTGAAACTAAGTCAATAGGAAATGCTGATGCTACTGATGTCGACCTTAGTGGTGGAAAAAACGACGATGTGGGGTTGGAATGATTCTCTTTGAAATGAAGCTCACCGAAGATCTCGGTGAAGGAGTGATCAAGGGGTGGTTTGAGAGCTTTAATATGGTTCCAAGGCGAAAGAGAATCAATCAAGGACGAGGCAGAGGAAGGAGAAGAACTGTTTTCAGGTACTATCGTGTTCTCAAAGATGTGCCTTAGGCTTTTACAAGCTGCCATTGCTATTTTGTTGGAACTCTATATTTATTAATGGCTTAAAAATGAGGAACTTCCCTTTTTTGAGTAAAAAAAAGGGATGAAAGATAGAAGAGATTGATGGGTAGCAAAGAAGGGAAGTAGTAGAGAAGATTACGTCTCACGAGATAGATGTGAATATGGGGGGTTGATCTGTTCAAAGATAAAGAGGCAGGTGGGCTGATAGCAAGGCAATAACCTGTTCTTTTATTAGTTGTTTATTATTATTTTTATTTTTCTATATGTTTTTTTGGGATAGGAAAAATCAGAAAATGTTGAGTTGCAAGGTTGGACTTTTTTGTTCTTGAGAGGGATGAGGTGGAGGGAGGATTATATGAAACAAAATGAAAAAACTCGTTCTTTTAAACTCTTGTCAAGAAATGAATACAGCGATGATATATATAGTCGTGATTGGATCTAGCAAATTGCAAGAACTGTAAAACGCGGGGAGATATTTTGGCAAATATTGGTCATTCTTATTATTAATATCGAAGTATTGATGAATTTGTCGCTTACCCGAGAAAAAAGGATATCTATGAGAAGGGTGTGCAAAGATTATAGCTAGTGTGCGGAGGTTTTGGTTGGAACTTGGAGGAGGGGGAAGAAAGTTATCTACCCTTTAAGTAGTTGCATGGGCTCACTATTTGTAGGTGAAGTAAGTAGAAAATGGGGGGGCAAAAGCCAAAAGGTTGAGAGAATAAAGGAAGAGGAAAGCTAAGGTGGATGGAAAAAAGGAGTGATTTTTTTCCTACCAATTGATTTTAGCCATTTGTTTCCACCTCCATAACAAATTGATAGATTTGCATGATTCGGTTACGTTGTATCACGTCTAGATTCTCTTTACAAAATATGAAAATATTACCTTTATTTTGTTCTATTGAGAATATTCCATTTGAGAAATAAAAAATATCAATTATTCATACTTCAATATTTTTTTTTAAAAAAAAACCCTAATAATTACGTGAGTTGTAATAAAATATAAAAATTGAATGTCAATCTGATCTAATCAAACATATGCATACGAATTTATATACTCCATCTAAGAGAGTTCGAAATACAAAATAAAAATACTTGTAAATTAAAGATCCTTGTTGAAGGACAAACTCAACTTAAAAGTTTAAGCTAGTGGTAGAAGCCTAAAATTATGTTTTTATACTCTATCAATCTTAATTTAATTAAATAGAAGCACCTTAGAAATACAAAACAATGATAACACTTGCTGACAACATTAGTTTACTTTTGTATAACAATCATCCATATTATTAGTAGATGACTTCATAGCTAAGTTGCTTGCATAATCCTTTTAAAAAAAATGTAGTTACCCGTTACCTAAAAAGTTTAAATCATAAGTGCATTTGACGGGAAATTTTATTATGAAAGAGCCATACAAATATAATATGGGAAGAGGATGATCTCAACAATTTTTTGTTTTAGTAATAGTTGATAGATAGATTATCACTTACCATTAAGATTTTATTCCATGATGGTTGATCAAATAATTTGGCCAGTCACATATAAAGGTATTGTTTGATTGACAAAATAAAAAAAATGGGAATTGAAAAGTTGAAATTCTTAAGATTTGAAATTATTTGGCATTTGGTTGATAAATTCATAAGAAGTAGAAATTTTTAGAAATTTACGCTTTCAAAAAATGGAGGAACTAAATTACCTAGGAGCATAGGTAAGTAGAACTTTCCATGAGAATTTTCACTTCCCTTATTTAACCAAATACTTTTTAAATTTTTTTTAGGAAGTTCAATTTCATGAAAAATCAAATTTTCAATTTGAACAAACAAGCCAAGTCTTAGAAAAATTTGTAATAAAATAATAATAAATTAAAAAAAAAAAAATCAAACATCTTCGTCTTTGCCAGATATGGAGCACGCAGATTGCTTTGAACTTCAATGATTCTACTTTTAGAGACACGTGGGTTAAAAAGCTTCGATTTCTCTTTCTTCATATTTTCTACAAGTACATTTTTGTATTCTTTTTTATTTTTAGGGGATTTTGTATTTTGTGAATTTCTCCCAAGTTTCTACTTCAATTACTACCTACGTTACAGGTTATGTGCAACAATTTCACATAAAGTAGAGAGAGAAAATATTTAATCATTGCACATTACTTGTAACATAGGTAATATAAATTTCAAATGAATTACATTGTATTATTGGGCCATGTAGAAATAATTCAGTAGAATTCACCCTAATTAGGATAAGAAGTAATATAAAAATTAAACCAGGCTATCTATACAAAAAAACTTCATCACTTGTGAAGTTGTGAGCTGTAATTCACTTGTAAAATAAGATTTAGTTGTAATTATAAACTCATATTGATACATGTAAAATCCCTTTAAGTTTATATAAATTAAATAAGATAGATTTTACTACTTATGAGATTAATAAGGGCTCGAGTAAGCTTCACATACTTTGATGTTGCTAGATCCTTGTACAAATATCCATATTTTAATTTTTTTTTTTTTTAGTTATTCATAAGGTAAATTCGCTACATAATTTAACCTAAATCATAACAAGATATTAGTTCGTTTGTAACACTAATTTGTAGCTCGGTATATATCAATTGTCCTTTGGGTGTGGAAGAAAATCACTCCCTCTGAGGAGTTGAAGGGTAGCTTCCATATCGTTGCCCTTTTTTTTTAAATTTTTTTTTTTTTTTTTTTATCTATTATTACAATTTTAGTTTTCATCAAATTGTGATATATTTTTTGTAAAAAAAAAAAAAAAAAAAAAAAAAAAAATTGAGAATGTTCCAACCAAAATGCCTAACAAGTTTTGTTCCTATTGGAGAGGGAGTGACTGAGGCCCTGTTCTTTTGAGCTTATGGGCAGAGCATAGCAGATTTCAGCACAGCAAAGCAAAGCAGAGCAGAGCAGATTTCAGCCGA